TGTACAAAATGTGTGAAAGGGAGTGTAGAATTCCTTTAGGCACTGAATATAAAAGGACTTCTATTTATATAATTACAATATACAGTATACATGGACATTTACCTCTCTCAGATAATAAAGATAAGATACTATTTTAAGTGGGACAGCTGTTGAAATTTTTGCTAAAGTGTTCCCTAACAACCGAGTTTAGTTTTGACCGCAGATCGTGTTGCTTTTTTTGGGTGCTGTCACATTAATATTTCACTCTTACTTTTGCCTGTCTGACCTGCGCCCATCTCGGTGTTCTCTAAAGAGGATGGGCAGAAAATAGCAGCATCCCCACACAAAGTTAAATACAGAAACAAAAAGGTCATTTTCTGATTGCAGAAAGTAGAACGCAGTCAGATATATGCCGCCTGTGCCCACGTAAATGTTTAGCCCACAGCCCTTGCTGTAATAAAATTCCTCCCACAGCCCACACCTCCAAGCTGCAAATATGGCTTTTAGTTCACTAGCGAGCTCTGATAGTAATGATGATCCTCCACTGCTGTAACTACTTGTGCATTGCTGGGGTTTTAAAGCTGTCAAAAGTAAATTAACTATGGATGAGCTGATTTTGACAGATGCTTATTGAACATTAAGAGGAAGGTGGCAAGAGTATGTTGTGCAGGTGCAGGAGAGAAGCCTAAATATCACAAAAAGAGCATTATGAATGCTTTCCACTGTGAATTCTAGAGTACATCTCGATACATCTCGTTTGATCGTGTACAAACATTGTGCGTAGTTCTTAAAATAAACAACTGAATAGACTACAAGTTTTAAAATCTAGGTAAAATCTAGGTAATACACCAAATTTTCTAATACTGCACAGTTCCAGAGTTGTTCAGTGCAGGCAGTGAAAGTGAGGCCTGAATGAAGACTGCATAAGGGCCTAGGAAGTCACAGTTGTCTCAAGCTGATGTAGCGACAGAAGACCTCCTAAAAACATTTGTTAGGATGTGTAGGCATTCTGTAATCATATCTCTTTTAAAAATAATGAATTGACAATACAAGTAGATTGTTTTTGTGAAAATTTCTGAAAAGTTTGAGGTGACATCTTGTGTGAAGTGAGACCATTTTATAAGAGGTTACGCACTTCAATGGAGAGGTTGGTCAATTACATGTCTATGCCTTTATAAGCAACCTTTCAGGCATTTACATTTTATCTTTAATATAGTTTTTATGGCAAATCAGCTCGCCATGTTGAAAGCTGATTCATTAGAGTTGTAGGACAATAAATGTTTCAATGTAATACCCTTCTATTGAAGTTTCTCAGCATCAGTATGTGCCCATTTTGGGTTATGAAATAGCCTTCTCTTGTTAGCGCTTTTGTCCCAGAATACAATATCATTTGCCAGGAAAATGAATGTGCTGGAAAAGATGATTCCAGCATTATCCATGCTTTTGCTGTTCTTTCCCCTTTTATCAACTGAAGCTTATTAAAAGGATATGATTATATAGAGCAGTATTTTTTAACCCGAGATGACATTTTTCCTATTGAGCGGACATTTGCAAATGAAAATGAATACCTTTGACATGAGAACGTTTTTTTTTTCCACAGACATCCAGGAGTTCTATGAAGTCACATTGCTTAACACTCACAAGAGCTGTGAGCAGAAGATAGAGGAAGTCAATCATGTGGCTGACAAGTGGGAGCAAACAAACGCTCCTGCCACTGTCCTCCAGCATCTACACACAGGTCAAGAGGTGAGAGAACAGATTACTGAAGGTGTTTTCTTATGTATTCCTACCAGGTCAGGCAAACAGTCCATCACTATAGCCTGGTCTGGAGTGAGAATGTTCTAGGTTTTAGAGACGTGCAGTAAATAAGAGATCTGAGTGATGTGATTTTGCCATGGCTCTGTTGTCTTTCTTGTGATTGCAATGAACTGTTACAGTTCTTTAACCAATGTGCATCATCCAGGTGGGGCTGCACATTGGTGGTGGTGGAAGGGATCCCCATTACCTGTAAAGCGCTTTGAGTGGAGTGTCCAGAAAAGCGCTATATAAGTGTAAGCAATTATTATTATTATAATGCTTACAAACTACAAACGTCTAGTTTACACACTCAATATTATGAACTATTCTTCGATATTCTTTTTTAGAACAGGTCAGAGGGCATGCACCTTAGTTAAATATGGAAACAGACCACATTTTCATTTCTCTAAAAGAACTTAGTAAAGGACATCGGAAAACTATTAGTACTCTTCTTTCTTTCACTCTGGTTGGCTGCATTTTGTGAGATTTAAGTTGTTTACTAATTCATGTAAACCAAATATTTATGAGGAAGTGTAAAAAAATTGAACAGGTAGCTGTGTTTTTAATTACACATTGCATAAGAATATATGTCATTCTACAGTTAAATCAAATCAGACACTCTCGAAGAGAGAAATGTTGTTGATTAATTGAAGTTTGTTCTAGAAAATGTTTGAAGAGCCTTTTAAAGAACATATTAAAACCCTTTAGAGGAGTGAAGAGAAATATTCCCAGCAAAAAAATATTAAACAGTTTGATAGTGTACATCATAAGAAACATTCAGGATTTATACATTTCCATGCGTTTTGTATAGTCTAGGAACTATTAAAGAATGAACTGAGTATGAATCTGATTGAAAAACCACTACTAGATATTGGCGCTCAAGGAGGAGGTTTAGCTGATGATGCTGCCTTTTCCAGTCTGATGGAAAGACAAGTTTAAAAAAATGTCTGGTAAACTTTTGGGGTTTTGAAATCCTTTCGACATTCTTTTGCTTAAATTTCTGGGTATGATTAATTTAGGGTCAGTTGCTTATGTAGCATGGCTCCTTTAAGTCAGAAGCTGCCATTTCCCATACACTTTCCTTTCCTGTGATTACAGGCACTGCATTGTTACAGTATGTTTTTAATATGTGGTTCATTTGTTTCTGGATTGTATTTATTTATGCAGTGTTTGTCAAGTTATTAAGTAAAAACACAAATCTATATCTTTCCACTAGGGGGAAACTACTTCTGTTAAAACAATGTATTACCGTTCTCTGGGTTGTGAGGAGGGATATTATATTGTGCATCTGGTGCTTAGGTCTCTGGGGTACGAACTACCATTTCTGCAGCACGTTTCACTTACAGTATGCTAATATACATTCTGAATCTGTATTCAATTAAATTTATTTTGATTAGAATTTATTTCCATACTAAAAGGAAACAAAACATTATGAAACACAGATCAGCTGTTTGCGATTTTGTTACCTATATTTGGTGTCTTGTGTCTGATTTAGCTGAGAACAATTACTACAAGTTTAGCCAATCTTTAACCTTAAACAACAAAGTACAGCAAATGTTTCCAGGACAATTGTGCAACTGCAATATTTTTGCCAGAAATTTGTGGCTTTCACAGTAATAAAGATGTAAGTTATTTTGGATTCACTGTATTATAATTGCAATACAATATTTAAGCATAGGTATCAAGATGTTGAGCATCAAGAAGTTCATATTTTTGTCTTTCTCTAGGTAGTGTTCTGTATATAGTATCTTGTCAGATAGAATATTTTTATATTTCTGATCAGTGCCAGCTGGGGTATTTGTTTTTTCTTTTTGGTTTTGCTTAGGGCAGTATAAATCAGTGATGATTTTGCCTTTGTATATGTGGAACTAAATACAGGTATAAAATATTTTAAGCATTACAGAAGACCATACCAGTAACTTGTTAATGTGCCAAAGTACCTAAAAACATAGATTTCTCCTCTGTCAACATCTGTTTCTGACTGCTGCCTGTTGCCCGCTCGGTCTTTTTAATCACATAATTCTGCACTCCACTTGGGGGAGGTAATTCCTTTATCAGGCATTTGCTGGCAACTTAATATTAGCATTTATTTAAGAAAAAATCATTAAAATGAAAAATAGGCAAGAAATAAGCATGAACCAAGTACTTGTAGGTCTTGTTCTATTAAGTTGTCTAACTGTTCGTGTCTCTGTCACTTGAGAGAAAATACAAATTAGTAACAGATTTTTGCAGAATAATAGAGTGCAGGGAACTGACCCCACAGTTCAGTTTTTGAATTTGACAAATTACATCCATATGGATAGCAAGCCCATTTTATTTTGACAATCCCACTGAAACCCTTTGGTTTCACCCTAAAGCCAGCAGGGGTCAGGACTGATTAATCACATAGATATCCAATGTTGTTGTTTTCAATTACATATTTAATATTTGAATTATGACAGTGCTTATTTTTTATATTAGGTTTTGCGTGGTGGTGTCCTCGCTAGTCTTGTGATATTTCGTTTTTTATAAAAATGGATTCTTTCAAATGTACTGTATGCATCTGCCGTCATTTTTTGCGGTCCATAGACACACACTAATACAGCACCTCCCACACCAAAATATATATACGTTATTCAAAATTATGAAAACAGAAAGATGTGTGTGTATGATGCAAATTATGAATCATAACTTCATAGATTTTGTGTAAAAATGACGTGTTGTGTAATTCAGTATTGTACTGACATTCTACAATGTCGTTGTCAGGTAACACATCAGAAAAGGCTTATTGCTTGTTTGAAACTTTACAATAGTTTGCCACATTCTCATGCCTCATACAAAATGACATGGTAGCATTTGAATAAAATACCATATCAGGCCATATTTCATTTGTACACAAAAGCTATTAATCAGTAATGCATAATTTGCTCATATATCCAGATTTTCAATCATTATTTTTAATACTGTATGTTAACGAAATTCAACAACAGCATAAAATAGTTTTTTGAATGATGGCTTCATGGTGAAGACAGGTTGTCAGATTCACCTGGATGCCACAACAAAGCAGGCATTCATACACTATTCAGCTTTGAATACAATTGGTTCTGACTTTCATCTGTTTAACTAGGTAAATAGGCCTTGAATGAATCATGCGTCACAGTACAATGCAATGTGCAGGTGTAGCCTCACTCTGGCATTTGATAGATGCATATTTGGGTGGTAGTGTGGAGCTGTGGTTAAGACTTTGTATTCATAGCTTGAAGATTGTGGGTGCAAATCCTGGGTGGTGTACGTTCCTTGATTATATATCCCTGGTAGGTACTTTGATCGCTTCAGTACAATTCCCTGCAGGATATATGGGTACAACTGTAAGTCACTTTGGGTAAAAACAACAGCAAATGAATTAATAATAATGATGATGGATTGGTGAGATTGCTTCCATGTATGTGGTCACCTCTTGTACACTGTGGTTGCAATAGAATCCACTATCTCAGCAATACAGAATATGCGCCTGTAGGCCTGAGGGATCAGGAGACTTGAAAGGGGTCACCCATCCTGGTGTTTAATATCAGCTGAATTTGGCTTACATTCGCAGAGCTGGATCTTAGTGTATCATTCACTCAGCGATGAGACTATTCCCCTAGTGAAGCCTTAAAGTTCATTGCCGGGATGAACAGTGACAATCAAAACTACTTTAACCTTTTGTTTTTAATAATATTTCTGTCAGCAGGAATATATAAAATTAAAACATGCACACCACAAATTGTACAATAAGTACCCTCACACACAAAGAAGGCTCCAGAGCAGAAATGTTGTGTTTCCTTTCTTCTCTTTTCAGCATGTAATAAACCTATTACTTGTTCCTTTACTGTAAGTAAGTACAGCCTACATCACACAAAATGTAGACACTTTTCCAAACGTTGCTGGAGGATTTTAACTTGGTTAAGTTAGACAAATGTTTTAGCAAGCTGTTTACAAGGTGAGATATTGATGTCCTGTTGCTACTTGCATTTTTCTATTCTAGCTGAGATGTGTGGTCTGGCCAACATGTGCATCCCAGGTCCTGTGTGTCTGTGAATAGATGTATGTTGTGTAGAAATACATTATACGAGGTGCATTGGAAATCCATCGACAAATTATTTATCAGGCTTCCCGATTTTAATTTGAATAATTTAATAGCAAATAACGTTTGCCAGAGAGACCTGCAAAATAATTGTTGTAAAAAATGTTTTATTCATGTTGTCTTCTGACACATCTCTCTTATGAAGGGAAGAGCCATTATAAAGGTTACTGACTAATATAGTATACTGTGTAAGCGATAAAATACTGCACAAATGTTTCTTCCAATTCATCTGTCTTTGCTAATTGGTAAAATCCCTTTATTGTATTTGCTTAATCTTGTGACCTTTAACTGACACTTCCTGCTTCAACTTACCATGCAGATGTGAGCACTCAGAATGAATGTGGTCGTACTGTATGTACTGTAACTGGAGCTGGATAAGACTAGCCAGTTCAGCTAAACGTGAAAAATGTTAATTGATTTCTATATTTAGACATAGTGTTGATTCAGTGTTACAGACACTTAAGATTTGTTGTATGTTTTAGAAAAAAAAACATTTGATTTTATTTGGGGGAATTATTATACACATTATTAAGATATTACAACGATACAAAATCACAAGAAGACAAGTGAAAAATAAATTGTGCTACTGTAATGTTGGGGCAGGGTAATGAAGAATTTTCCAAAAACATTGCCTGGACTCTTAAATGATGATGTGCTAAAACCTTTTGTTACATATTTTTAATGTTTTTGCCAGAGGTTAACAGAGAGGCTGCAATAAAAAGCCAATTCATAATTTTATTTAGTATATTCTGGATTTATTTGTAGTTAATATAATTTTTGGTCTGTCATTTCCCTGAAGGTTTTTCCAACGTGTTTTGCAACATACAGTATTTCAGCTGTGATTTATTGTTTTTTTTTCAAATTTTAAATTGAAATATATGTCTAGATTCAAAACACAAATGTTTTATTTATATGCCACCATGATTTAGTGCAAACCTCATCTTTAAAAATCAAGTGTGTCTTAACGGTATACCAGGTGCAGTTAGGTTTAGTGAGGAGCTTGGTGTATCATTTATCAAATACAGTTTGTTGAGAAAAAAGTCTTATCTTAACTCTTCTGGAAAATTATAATAGTCAGAGGCAAGTTCAGAAAGTTGATAAGTGGTATATAAAAATAATGATATGTCAGCATGCTCTTTTCTGGCATGCCCAACTTTTGTACCAGTGTAACATTAGAAAGGAAAAATAATTGAATATCCTTATTGTATTGTTTCCTTTTGTTCTGTACACTGCATGCTTTATCAATGGCCCATGCACTGATGTTTCTCAAAGGAAACGAGAATGCGGACAACGCACACTGTTTCAACTGTTTTATACACTCAACAATCTGTGCTTTTCACTTTTTTTTTATTTAATTTTGTGAACTTTCACTTAAGATTTGAGAAAACGAATCATTATCAATATGTTGACTGAAAGTGTGTTTGGGGAGAAAAAATTGTATCCTGAAATGTTATTTGTTAGTCTGTTGCCTTTATCCAAGGTGTGAATGGGTAAATGGAATCCATGGGCATGAATGAATAAGTAAACATTCCACAAGGTTTTACATTGCATATTCAATGGGTTGATTTAAAAATAATTTTCAGAATAGTATTGTTGCTTATAATCTAACAGCTTTTATTTATTTGTTTACTCACAGCCAAGAGATCTGACCAATTTAGAGTGCTACATGCCTAGAACAGAGGAAAATGCAGAGGAACATGGTGAACACAGCACTATAGAGGTAAATAGTCACTGGGCATGTTTACCACTCACTATTTTGATATTAGTGTCTGACAACATTTGGCTAGATGTTTAGATCCTGGCTTATGTAGCATTTCTGTGTTTTTGGCCACTTGTATGACCATTGGTAAGACTATAGCCCTCAGACTAGAATTTAAAGAATAATTTAAATGCTTTATTTTGTTGATAATCTGAATCTTTTATTCAGAAATCAAAACACCCGTTTACAACAACCAACCATCTTAATTAAAGAATTTAGAAACGCGTGTTTCTTCATTATTCAGGAAATCCATTCGCTGTTGGCATGACACTGCTAAATAGAAATGGAAAATCTGCTACATACAGTACAGGTAATACCTGCAAAATGCAGCAGCGCATTAAGAAAATGAATCTGTTTTCATCAAAACTCCAGAAGCAGCCAGAGGGTATTTTGGAAATCTGCTCCTGTCTGATTTCACAGATAGAAAGTTTTCGGTGTTCATTGGCAGCCTGGAGGCATGGAGAAGAACTAGAACATCTTATAAAAATGATCAGACTGGTGGTTAAAATGCATGTTCCACAGCGTATTTTAAAATGCCTGTTTTGGGAAAAGGCTGAACTCATTTTACAGGTAGCCGAGCGGTTATTTTGTTTCTTGTCAACTAGAAAGGGGCCAGGTTGTTTTCAATCCGGAGGTTCTTTCAAGGGTGTGTGTTCTTGTTGCATCATAAAAAACTGCACTTTGCATGGGAGGTTATAGAAACAAGTGGGCAACTTGTAATTCCTTTGTTTTTTTCCTGAGTCTGTGTGCCACCCAGCTGCATGCCACAATGATATCATCAACAGAAATTATTTGCTGTCCTTTATTGATATCTTCACTTTACATCTTTTGTCCCACAAAAGTGGAGGTTCTTTCTGTCTAGGAAGCAGATTCTTAGATTTCTGAGACTGAATTTTTTTCAAAGATGAATGTCCAGTTGTTTATCAGCCATTATGTATGAGCAAAACTTCAAACCTGACCGTTCACACCTGCAACATGGTTCACTAGGGACCACGCTATCCGAAAATTAAATGCTTGGAATACATGGTGAGAAAAGTTTGGCTTAACCCACTTGGTTAATGTGTATCCTACTGGCCACAAGACCCCACCCAGACTGATTGAACCATGGTGTAGCTGCAACGTAGAGATGAGGCAGAGGAGGGATTCTTGAGGTGAATGTGAAAAGAGGTATTTGAGTTCAATATATGTAGCCAGTTACGTAATGATGGTGATGAGGTACACTTGATGAGACTGACTTGTCGTTGTTGAGTTAAGAACTTTCATCCATTAAAAGATGTTGACAAAATCTGTGTAGTGGAAAATGTACAAGCACGTGCTTTATTTAATTGAGGCCTCATGTTTTGGGTATATCGCAATGTTCGTAGTACCTTAAAAAGGGTCTTCTTGGATGCTGAACTGCATTCGGTGAGTACATTGGTGAGATTAATAGAGAAAGATGGGATGAGACCAAAAGGGAAATATACTAAAATCCAAAGTAAGGAATATATATAGAAAGGCCTGCAATGCAGTTAGAAGAAAATGGGGGAGTAGGTTGGTTAGCATGGGAAAAATGTAGTAATTCTGCTATGTTTGTACAGGCCATTGCATTAATAAAGGATGTGAAATTAGACTGAAGATACAGGTTTTGTATGTATTAGAGGCACTTGGCTCTGTTATTAGATAGCCACTGATGACTTAGGAGTGTTGTCATTATATAACTTGGAGTCTTTGAAGATTTTTTTTTTTGACTGCAAGGCAGCAGCAGCACCAGTAATTGTCACATCTCGCCCACACAGGCTGCTGTCTCCGGCTTTACCCTGTGTGTGCTTCATCAGAAGTTGCTACGGAATGGCACATTCGGTTAGAGAACACTAATGAGGAACTAATACATGCAGCCAATCCCTTTCTAGCAGCAATGCAGTGCTGTGCCTTTCTTGTCATACTGTTGGTTTTTCTTCTGTAGATATTTTAGATCTTTATCTACAGTGCCAGTGTTTGATGATGTTAATTGCTAATGATGCATTCAATTAGGACTAGGGAGACACAATCAAGTGCCGTTTGCACTTGCAATTTGGATAAACGAGCACCTTTTCTTGGCACTGTTTCGTTTGAATATCAGGGCATATTAAACCAAAAAGGATATCTTGAATCCTGTTAGTTCCAAAAACAGCAATGAACAATGTAAAATGTGTCCGCATTATCACAACTTTGATCACAACTTTCAAATCCTGTCCCTCTAACGCATTTTTTTGTAATAGAACCATATTTCAGATGTAACGAAGAAAATCTGGTACTAATGTGGGTTGCCACGTAGTCTTGGTATAATGGTAAATAAAGCTTTTAGAAAAGTATTAATTTATATTTGCAAGGTATTTAAACACAGAGCCTCTGATTAAGGTGGTATGTGTAATTATTGGTTTAATGATAGCTAGGATCCATAATAACTTATGCTTTGTTTGAAATGATAGAAATGTCCTTTGCAGCTACGTAATATTCATGGTCTGTGGCGAAACATTGTATGGTAGGATTGGGATAGGATAGAGTTTAGTTTGGGAATCTAATGTTATAGAAAAGGAGCAGAATTTCAAAGTATTCGTACACAGACCTTTTTCTGTGAAGTTTTATTTACTTTGCTTCACATTTACATATTCCTAAAATATACAAGCCTTCTTTGCCTGACAAAACGAGCATTTTTTAATTGAAGCCTGACATGAAATTCTAGAGGTTGTTATAGCAGCATCAATAGAGATTATGATTGATTTGAACAATTTAACAAATAATCACAGCATAGTTTACAGAAAGCATGTCCCGTCTGCCTTGTGGCTGAGAGAGGTCTATTTTTGTCACTGGTGTGTTCAGTTTTATACGTTCCTAGCATAGAAGTAAAATTTATTCACAGCATCAGATAACTCCTTCTCTGCTCCACCTCAGGTTTTCTCGGTCTGAACTTTTTTCCATGATTTGACCTTGTAGGAAAGACATATTTCCCTTCCAAGGTTGGAGAGATTATACTTGGAGATTTGGGAGTGTGGATACCTTTTGATCAGTTCTCATGCAGTTCTTAGCTGTGATTTAAAAATGCTCCTTGCTGGTGAACTAGTTATTCATTATAGTACAGGTGAGGGATACTACATTTAAAAGGGACATGGGTACATATTCTAAATAATTCTTCACTGCTTTGGTAGAGTTGGTTGGAGAATCTAAGCCAAGTTCTCCATGATAGATCAACAGAGACGTCAAAAGAGAGCTCAAACAGTTCAGCGTGGGAAAGGAGCTTATCTCACTCTGAGGGAAAACAGGAAGATGCCTGCTGAAAGCAGAACATGATCATAATGTCATCATCTCACTGTGTTAGACTGAACTTCTGGGTGCCTAATTGCCTGGTCCAATTATAGAAATCATGTGAGAATCGGTTTTAGGCATTTCTGCAAGTTCAAGAAATGCAGTCTTAATTCCTAAGAAAAATGTCCTGATTGCTTATTAATAAAACAGAACATGTAATTCTTATTAAATGTAAATTATTATAATATATGTTTAATAAATAGGTTGCCTTTCTGGGTAGATATTTACAAATGTAATTATTTTTAATTAATTAATCTTCATGTTTGTTTTTGCTTTTGCGTTACAAAGAAATTAGCAAATAGATTCTTAATTTGTCTTTTTTTCCAAAGTAAGATTTAATTACTTTTTGAAGTCCCTGTTTAACAAAGATTTGTTTTCAGATTCAAGTTAAATACTTTCTATTTTGTCATTTACTTTTGCATGCGTACTATAAATGTATGAAGGTATACTTTGAAAGATTAATAGTAGTTAATAGTAAAACATACTATTGACTGAAGGTTTTTGCTCATTGGTTGTAAATATAATATGGCTATAGATACAGTGCTTATTTTTAGTATTCAACACCTTCTGAGTCTGATGGTTTCTGTCAGCACAACAATGAGCTAAAGGCATACTTAGTTCAGCTGAGAAATTGTAAAGAAAATAATAAAAGAAATGGGCTTCCTCATTTATTCTTCTCTGTTTACTTTTAAGCTTATTTGGTTTATATTCTGACCTTGTTTGTTAACTGAAAACAAACGTGTAAGTGGCAAAACACGTTCAGGTGTTTTCACTACATAATGTGATCATTATAAATCTGCTTAGGCTCCATCTGTAGAAAAGATTAGCCACTTCCTGAATCTCTACACACAAGCAAATTTTTGCTGAGGCCATGACATGTCCACCAATGAAAGCAGTTATAAGCGTGCTTTTCTGTGAAGAAATTCGGGCAGAAGACCACCCTTTCTTCAGGCAGAAGGTAAAGTTTAATAAATATAGAGGTGAAATTCAATGGTATAGATAAGGCCCCATAACGGATAGCTCAACAGTTAAGAGTAAAGTCCTTGCTGTTTACTTCTGCTTACATCCGATGTGCTCTCCAAATGCTTCTTCGTTATATGTGCTTACCTCTGTTGTCAAACACTTGACCTTGTAATGCAAAGTACCTTTCATATGTACTGTATTTTAAATAGTTATGTGCTATAGGTATGCTGGTATTATAGTCTTCAAGTCACTGAGTTTCTTTGTTACTAGAACAAGCTCAGTAACTTGAAGATAGTGACTGTAAATGTTTTACTACTTTAGAACTGAATATACTTGTTTCTCTCGAACTGTAGGAATTTGTTGGTTATTTTTTCTGACCTTTTCAAATGAATTGGCGTATGCATGAATGATGTGTTTATCAGTACCATTCGGATTAGATATTTTTCATGTTATAACATGAGAATCAGCTGTTAAAAAAGGGAAATTTGGATGAAAGGGATCAACATCTAAAGTGACTAAACTCACAAAATCAGTTTCATATAAAAATGTTGAGTCTTCGAATATTTTATTTCCTCCTGGACATTTGTATCTGTATGATTTTGACTGTGTTTATGCAGTACATCCATCTGGGCTTGTTTTAGACTTGCCATTCAGTGAGTTTAATATAAAATGCATTT